GTGCACCACCATGCCCAGCTAAATATTCCTCATTGAACAACCTACCTGTTTAATGACTGCTCAGGCTTAATAATGAAGACACACTGTTCAGATTTACAACACCCTTTTTCTTGGTACAATTCTGTACATCTTCTTGATAGAGCCAAAATGTCCTTTTCTTCATACCGTATACCTTCTTTATACAATACTGATGTATATTACAGTACCACACATAAGAGTTATGCACATAAAAAGCAAAGTCATTATGTTGGAGTTTCCTTTGACCATTTCTTTATTCTGTATATACAGTTCCTCATTTGGCGACCAATTCATTTAACAGTCTAGTCACAGGAACTGAACTTGGTTGTTAAACAAGGAATGTATGTATTTGTTTTTAATTCCTCCTTTGTTTTTTTAGTTTTAAACACAACTGCTTTCTTCTGAGTTCAGTTTTCTTGTTAAAGAACATTCTTTTAGTAGTTCCTTTAGGAGCCAGAACTGGTGGTACATACCTGTACTCCCAGCACTCATGAGGTTGAGGCAGAAGGATCACCACAAGTTGAAGGCCAGCCTAAGCTACATAACAAGACACTGTCTCAAAAAAAAAAATTTCCTTTAGGAATTGATTGGTAAACTCTCATATATGTCATTGTCTTATTACATTGGTCTTGCCTTACTCTGTAACACACTACTGAATTCTAGGTTCATGTTTTCCCTTAATGCTTTGAAGATTTCATTGTATTCTATTCTGGCCTCTCATTTTGCAGCCAAGCAGTCTGGTCAGTGTAGCTGATCTTCCTTTCTGGATAATTGCCTTTCTTCCCTCCAGTAAATTATCCTTAATATTCAAGTTCTCCTTCACAGTAGCTCATACATTTTTAAAATTTATTCTGTGTGGAACGTGGTATATATGCTTTTAGATCAAGGATGTATACATCTTGCTTTGAGCTAGAGGTAAAAACAATTGTTTCTTTTCCTCTACTCTGCTCTTCTGGAATTCCTGTTAAACACACTTTTGTGTCTTTATCTGAAATTTGTAAAGAATGTGTAGGTAGGATTTATATTATTCACAATGTTCTAATTCCACTTATTTACTTAAAGAGCTGATGGGAAGGGGAGTGCTAGGGATTGAACACAGGGGCATTTTGACACTGAGCTACAGTGCAAGCCCTTTTCTATTTTCAGATGGGGTCTGAAAAAACAACCGTTTGCCCAGATTGGCATCAAATTTATGCTCCTCCTGCCTCAATTTCCTACATAACTGGGATAAACAAGGACCTAATCTGGTCCTCTTTTTTTCTTGGGGAACTTAACTTTTTTATTTTTGTTTTCTTTCTTAAAAAAAAAAACGAGTGCATGAAAAAATACCACCACCAACACAGATTCATTGTGATTATTGAGTTTCTGCTGTGAACTGGGGGCTCTTCTATGTACTTTGAATATATCAGTGAACAAATCAAACATTTTTATGACTTCTGTCAAAGTGACATATGTACTCATATATACACTTCTATCTTAGGAACATAGAATCTACTTGTCAAAGATCTTTGTCTAAATATGCCAATTCTATAATTTAGTCCATTAAAACTGGCCTCCACTGAAGCCCAGTGCTGACAGAAAAGCCTTGCATTTGGCAGTTATCACCTAATCTCCAAAACAGTGAGACCTTTAAAAAACATTAGTGTAATACATTGTCTCATTATTTGTTGACTTTTACAATCCCTATATGTATTATCTTTGTATTCACACTATGTGCTGTTACTTCTTTTAAAGTCATTGTAAAAGTCAAAAAAGAATAATACCATTGTTAACATTGCTAAGGCCTCACTCTCCAAGCTTTTGAAAAATAGCTCCTTCCTTCATCTCTTGATCCTGTTTAGGGTTTTAGGTAGGATACATTTTCATTGTAAAATGTGGACTTTGGGAGGAAGAGTATATTAGTAAAATTCCTTAGTAGAATCATCAGTCCTATTCAGCATATGGAAGATTATTCAGGTAAGCACAAAGTTGTAGAACAAACAAGTTGTCATGAAACAGTTGTATTTAAAACAAATAAGACAGTGGTATTTACCAAGAAAACTATTTTCTCCATTCCATTTAACTAAAAAAGTAGCAAAATGTGTATGACATTTAATTAAACAACGTTGGTTGTTTTTCACCAGTCCTCTTTGGCATTAACTTTTCAAAATAAGGCATGTTCCTTTCCCCCAGGGTTGAAAAATAATATACATGAAAGGCTAGAACACACAGGATGGTAGTTCTAGAGGGGATCTTCCTACTGCATGTAGTAAACCAATCCTGGTAAAGATTTTGTGGATTTTTAGACTTTGTGGAGAGATGGGGGGAGTGTCTATAGTTTTTGTTTTTGTTTTTACCTTGCCCACAATCAGTCCCGTTTCCACTTGTACCTGAATCTGCATTGTTAGCTACAGAGAGGATACTTGGTGAAATGCAGCCATCCCCTGAGCAGACCAGAGACACATCTTGATCCCTCTTATCTTGTTTTATAGGTTTATAATACTCTCAGATTCAAAAGATGGCAGTCATTGACCTGTCCTCCACATCAACTCTACCCATACAAGACTTTACCTGCTTCTGTATGAGAAAAACAGAGGAGGAAAGAGTAGTTGCTGGATTGTTGACCACCTGGTTACAAGAACCAGTGACCATCAAGGATATAACTCTGGAATTCACTCTGGAGGAGTGGATGATGCTGGACTCTGCTAAGAGAAATCTGTACAAAGATGTAATGGTTGAAAACTATAGGAATCTTACTGCAATGGAGTATCAGTTATGTGAGCTTTCTGTGAATTCCTTCTTGGATCAAGAAGGAATAAGAACTATGAAAAGAATTCCCCACACTGTCTGTCCAAACTGGATGATTGAATTTAAAACCGACAAATCAATTCCTACACATAATATCTCTAGGGAGAAAGCATCCAATGGAGTGAAAATACAATTCTTAATGAACAGTTCGTCCTCCACATTAAGAGAAGACTGGGAATGCCAGAAGATAAGAATACAGCACAAGATCCTAGAGAGACATTTTAGGCAAGTGACGCATATGCAAAAGAAAACAGCATTTCAGGAGAATTTCTGTGATTATCATGAATTACAGGAAAACTCTAAACTTAGACCAAAAATTATGTTTTCGCAGAGGGTTTCCACCAGCAAACATTGGCATAAGTGTAACTCAGATATTCAATATTTAAAACATAATTCAGTGCTAAGCAGTTATGAGGAAAACTGTATGAATGAAAAGGCCTGTGAAAGTCATGAATTTGATCATTCTCTATGGCATCTTGCAAGAATTCTAGCAACACAAAAACAGTACACATGCTCTCAATATGGTATGCACTTCAAATACAGTAGTATGTTTCCTATACATAATAGTCTTCATGTAGTGGGAAGTTCCTGTGAATATATTAAAAACAAGAAACCTTTTTGTCATCATTCATCTCTTAAGCAACAAGAGCAAATTCATACCAAAGACAAAGATTATGAATGTAGTCAATGTGCAAAAGCCTTCAAAAGGATTTCTAATTTTATTTTGCACAAAAAAAGCCATATGGGTGCAAAACAACATGATTGTAAAGAATGTGGGAAAGTATTCAATGCTTCCTCTACCTTAAGAAGACGTGAAAGAACTCACACTGGGGAGAAACCCTATGAATGCAATCAGTGTGGAAAGTCCTTTGGCACAAGCTCTTACCTTATAGTACACAAGCGAACACACACTGGAGAGAAACTCTATGGCTGTAGTGACTGTGGAAAAGCCTTTAACACAAGCTCTCACCTTAAGGCTCATAGGAAAATACACACTGGAGAGAATCTTTTTGAATGCAGTGACTGTGGGAGGGCTTTTAGTGGTTTCTCTTCCCTTAGAATGCACATCAGAACACACACTGGAGAAAGGCCTTATGAATGTATGGAATGCAGGAAAGCCTTCCATGTTTCTTCTTCCCTTAAAAGACGTGAGAATTCACACTGGAGAGAAACCCTATGAATGTATTCATTGTGGAAAGGCTTTCATTCAGAGTTCTTCACTTACTATACACAAGAGAATTCATAAGGGGAGAGAAACTTTCTAAGTGCTATAAATGTGGAACTTTTGCATTGTCTTATAATTAACTTCAATCTTATTATTTAAATTTTTATTTTCAGATTACCACTTCAGGGTATTAATGGCCTTGAACACATTCATGTAGTTTTGTTCTGCGTTTTGTTCTATGACAATTTTTATTTAGTTCTGAATATTGTCTAATTATTGTCATTTTTTGATCCTGGCTATTTAAAATTACATTTTTAATATGTGTGATAAGATTTTCAGTTGCCTTTTTATTAAGAATTTTAAGTTTGTTGCATTGTTATCATGGTACCTGGCCTACATTATACTACTGTTTTGGTACTGTATTTTGTAAGAGTTTTGTTCTGTCCCAATGAGACAGATACTGTTACTAACCTAACAACACTCAGCCTTCCTTACTAATAAGTCCTGTATTAGCTAAGGATACCAATTTGCCTAGTTATAAAAGCTTTCTCAGGCTCTTGTTCCCGAAGGTAGCCATCTCCCCAATTCCTAACCAGACAGGAATAGACTAATATCACTGGGAACTGAATTGTTTATTCTTTCTGCCTTTCACACTGTGTCTTTCTGCCATGTCCATTCTTCTCTCCCTTGGAATTTTCCAGTCTTGGAGCTGAAAGATCCATCTTATGACTATAAGAAGGACAGTCACGGCTTAAGGATGATATAAAAGAGATCCTGATTCCCAAAGGCACCTTTAAATAGTTGTGCTACCCTTCTAGTGCTTACTTCAGGACATCTTTTTGTGTGGGGAAAAAAAAAAAAAAAACCTGATTTTTTTTTTAAAGCAGTACATAGTACAGTCAGTACAGTGGCAGTTTTTAAAAAACGGGTATATAGAGTTAAACGTGCTACTTTAAAGGTATGCATTTCAAAAGGAATCTAGAAAAGGGAAAATACGAGTGTTGACAGCACAGCATTTTTGTGATTATGCAGGAGATAAAGACAGAGATGACATGACTGGAAGCAGCTCCTCAGAGAAGAAAGGAATCTCAACATTTCAGCACCAGAAACTCATAAACTTTCAAATAGAGGGGAAATTACTAATTTTAAATACTAAGTGGCACTTGAGATTTCACTTCCTGGCCTTTCAGACACTGACTAGATTGGCTTTAATGTATTATGAAACAAAATACAGAAAAACACACACATGGAAGAAAAAGATAGTGGTTGCACATTTAGTCATGTTAATTTGTAGATACACATGTTAATACAATTCTAGACTTGAAGAAGTGTGTAGACTAAAGATACATTTTAATGACCCATTAGATAGACTAATAACCATGTAAAAGTGCCTAAGATTAGCTAGGGGAAATGGAATGAAGAGAGAATGTCTGCCATTGACCATGAAGAATATTTAAAAGGAAAGAGAAATGAACCGCAGTAGATAATGGAGAAACCACAGACAGTAGAGTTTCACCAAACCAAGACAAATTAGTCAAATGAATGTGAAGTTAACTGCTTTCAGTGTTACTCAGGGATCCAATTAGATGAAGTCTTAAAAAGTGAACCTGTATAGTTATGTTAAGATCATTAAAGGGGCATGGAAGAGAATGAATGTAGGGAGTGGCTGAAGCTGGAAATTGGTCACATGTGGGTGGAGGCAAGGCAAGGTGGGCCTGAGAACAAAGAGCACCTGAGGCAATCCAGCTGCTTCAGTCCAGAGAAACAAGGAGATAGTCACAGCCATTAGTTGCCAGGGAAACCTATGTCACGTGATACTTTCTCCACTGTATAAATAAACTCCCCTACAGTGTTTGAGCAATTTTGCTTTCCTCCTATCTGGAGAGAGGGCTTCACCTGACCTCCACTTTTTTTCTCTTATCTTTATTAATCCTCTTGCTGTTCTTCCCCTTGAGAACATCAAGAGCCACAGCAGTTCGCAGCACATGAACAGACAAATTTGAATATTCATTGAAAACAACTTTAATTTCTGAAATACTAGTTTGTCTTGGTGAAATTCCATTCCTCTTAAGAAATGACTATAACATTCTGGGAGGCTGAGACAGAAAGAGTTCAAGTTAGAGTCCAGCCTGTGTAATACCAGCTTAGCAAGACCATTAGCAAGACCAGCTTAGCAAGTGCATTCACTCCCCAGTACCACAAAAAATAAATATATGAGGTACTAAGCTGTTTGGGGGGGTACTGGAGGTTCAACCCAGGGCTACATCCTCACCCCTTTGTAAACTTGAGACAGGGGCCTCATTGAGTCACTAAGTTGCCAGGCTGGGGCTCAGACTTGGAACTATCCTCCCTCAGCCTCCCAGAGTGCTGGTATTACAGTGATGCACTACATAGCCATCCTCTACCTCCACAGTCTCTTCCCTGCCTTAACCTGACATGATCATCCTTTATGCATTGTATCCTTTGTCTGCTGTAACATTACTTGTGATACTTTAATGGTATTGCCTGCTTGTGTAACTTGAGTCTATAAATTTTGGTAAGAATTCACTGTTTTACTCTTACTATGTGGCCCAAAGTGTTCCATATCCAAAAACTTTGTGGTTTTTATTTAGTATCTCAGTAGAAGTTTAACTTAAAAATAACAGTAGATATTTAAGTGATAGAATCAGTACATTGTTTTCTGAGCACTTGTATCATCACTCCCAGAGCAAGTGTTGCAATAGTACCGGTTTGTAGTACAGGTATGGAAAGACAGTGACTGTTCAGAGAACAGCAGCTCGTTGTTTGTTCATAGTCTCGCCCCTCACCTGACATACAGATTGTCATTTTTCATGTTACTCTACTGTGTATTACACCATTAAAAGGACAGATTGATCCAGTACAGGTGAGTGGCAGTGTCCTCCTTTAAACTAGCAATGTAAGTATAGATTTATGGAATAGTCCTCCCTTATCTGCAATTTTGCTTTCCATTATTTAAGTTACCTACATGGGCTGAAAACACTAAATGGATAATTACAGAAAGAACTCGAGGGGTTTTTTTTTTTTGTCTGTTTCTTTTCAGAAAGGATCTCACTACGTAGTTCAGGCTGGCTTTGAACTCACTATGTAGTCCAAGCTGGCCTCAAACTTGAGGTGACACTCTAGCCTCAGCCTCTGAAGGCTAGGATTACAAGTGTGGCTTTGACTTTTAAATTACATACTGTTCTGTGCAGCCTCTTGAAGTCTGTAGTATCCAGCCTGCGAAGTTAACCGTCCTATTGTGCAGCACATCCATGCTGTGTATGCTGTCTACATATTAGTCACTTAGCCTTCTTGGTCACTAGATTGACTGTCTTGGCATGCTGTGCTTCTATTCAGGTAACACAGGTTTTACATAGTGATGGCCAAAAAGCACAAAAATAGTAATAGTGGTGATTTTGTTACAGCACATTATTAAAAAATTTTTCCACTTGTGGCATAATGTTGACAATCCAGAAGTTTCAGATCTCAGATTTTAAGGTTACAGATGCTCACCTTCTGTATATATTACTTGGCACTATCTACAGTTTCAGGCATCCACTGGTCACCTTGGAATGTATCCTCCAAAGATGAGAGGGAACTACTGTACACTTTTGGGGACAGTCAAGGAATTTGTCCAAAGCTGAACTATTTATAACCTTTAACCTAGAAAAACTTTACTGAACATTTATGAAAGAACTCTTTATGCAAGCACTTATACACTATTCATCTCAGTTTCACACTAGGGAAAAATTGGAAAATTCCTAAATTTCCACTAACAGCTAATTGGTTTCTTAAAATTATGAATGCAGTCATTAGAATGTGATTATATATGATTGATATCTGGAGACATGGGGGGTTGTCATTTGTTTTTGGTTTGGTTTTGCTTCTTAATACATGTTTGAAGTACATAAAATTTTACATTCACCTTAGGGAGAAGGCTCATGTACACAACACAGCTTTTTAAATCTTATCCACCTCCCTCCCTCTGCTTCTATCCCATTTCCCAATTTTCATTCTTGTTAATGTTATTAATCTTAGCTTATGTTCATGACATATGCTTACATTCATCCAGGTTATTAGATCCCTGTACATTACCATATCTTTATTCTATTTAGTTCCCCACCCTCTCTTCCCTTGCCCCCTAGACTCTTCCTATTTGCAAGAGTTTTGTCCCCTTGTTTCCTATCAATCCTTTATGATGCTCTTTGTACTCTGGCTCATTCAAATGAGAGATATTTAAGCTTGTGTGTCTAATTTACTTCACTCACCTAGGTGCATCCATTTTCCTACAAATGTCCCAAATTTGTCCTTAATGGCTAAGTAGTATTCCATTATATATATGCCACATTTTCTTTATCCACTAGTCCAGTGATGGAGATACAGGCAGCTTCCACGATTTACCTATTATAAATTGTGTTGCTGTGAACACTGGTATGCATGTATTACTGTAGTATATCTTTAGCTCTTTGGGGATGATACCTACCAATAGAAGGGAAATACCTGGGTGTTTCTTTTTGGCATTTTAACAGTACTGACATTTGAATTCAGTGCTGTACCATTCAGTTACAGTAGTACTCAACTTCAGTTCATGAACTGAACAATTCGGTTCACAAACAAGTGTTCCACAACATTTTGCTTCCTTCACAAATTCATCAGGTTTTAACACAACTGTGGCCATCTTCCGCAGAACTGTGGAACAAATTAAGTTCATGAACCGAGGTACTACTGCATTTTCAATGGGACCTGGGCTCTCTCTCAGGTGAGGAACTTTAGGGCTGTGAGCTAGCTTCACTCTGGAAATTGAGCCAAGGATGAGAACATTACTTACAGTGATTTCAGTTTGGTTTCTGCCTAGGTGTAGTGTCCTTACCTATATATGAAATAGCACTTTGAAAACCCACCCATCTATTTTATCTCTGGGACCACTGTGATTATCTGTTGCACAGAAATATGTGATTAAAATACTTCTTTAAAAATCAGATTTTATTGGTGCATTTTAGATATATTTAATGATCACATGCATTGTACCTGCTAACTTGATTTCTCCCCCATTCCTCTAAACTCCCTCAACCTCTTCTCCCCTCCCCATTTATAAAAGCTTTGCTTCCATGTTTTCCTTTTCACATTTTTTCTTTACTTTTTCCTTTCCTCTTCCCCTACCCGCTCCCTTGTTCCCCTCCCCATTTGAACATTTCTTCTATTTCACAATACCTATGATACATTTTCATCCTTATTTACAGTTTCAGTTGCTCACACCAAAAATGCGGTATTTACACGTGTGTCTGATTTATTTCACTTAGGAGTATGGACTCAAAGTGCATCCATTTTCCTAGAAATGTCTTGAGTATATCCTTCTTTATGGCAGAGTAGTAATTGTATAAAAGAAAGTCACATCTTCTTTATCCATTCTTCAGTTGATAGGCACTTGTGTTGTTTCCAAGATTTGGCTATTACAAACTGTGCCCCTAAAAATTATGGGTGTATCACTGTAGTATCATGCTTTTAATTCTTTTGGAAAGATACCCAGGAGGGGAATGGCTGGGTCAAATGGAAACTGTAGTCCTAGTTGTTTTTGTTTGTTTTTTTTTTTTTTTTTGAGGAGTCTCCACACTGATTTCCTCAGTGGTTGCACCAGTCTACATTCCCACCAACAGTGAAGAATTCCTTTTTTCCCACAACCCCACCCGCATTTGTTATTGGTTCCTTGATTACAGCCATTCTTTCCAGGGAGGGGATGGAATCTGTTGTTTTAATTTGCATCTCTTGAATGACCAGTGATGTTGAACATTTTTTCATATATTGATTTGCTGTTTGTATTTCTTCTGGGAAGTGTGTATTCATTTCAGATGCCCATTTTTTGATTGAGTCTTTAAGTTTGGGGGATCTGACTTTGGGGTGGCAATTAATATGTTCTCAGTAGTAATCCTTTTTCTGAGAAACACCTGGCAAACATTTTTCCCACCTTGTGGGTTCTCTCTTCACTGTGTTGATGGTTTCTCTTGCTGTGCAAAAGCTTTTTAATAAGATGGGTCTCAACTGTTGATTCTTTGAGAAAGTTTATGTGCAACCACGGTTTTGTTCATAAAGTCTTTGCCTACACCAATGTCTTCAAGAGTTTTACCTATTCTATCTTCCAGAAGATTTAATGTTTCTATTTTAACATAATTAAAACTCTTTAGTGCTCTATCCCTCTTTTCTTGTTCTGTGTCCTGCCTCTACCATGCCAAGATCCTATGCCATCATTGTCACTGAAACTGGGATTTTATTTCCTTTATAGAAGCTCCAAACATCATTTACAGCCTAAAGATCTTTTAAGGATGATGGTATGTGCATCACTAATGTGATTTCTACCTTCCTTGAAGAGAGTGTTTTATGACCTTTCCCAGGCTTGATTACAGTTGAGTATTTAAAAGATGTATTCCAGCACTGTAGAGGCTGAGGAAGGAGGATCTCAACTACAAACCTGTCCTGGGCAACTTAGTGAGACCCTGTCTCAAGAGCTAAAACAAAGGCTGAGAATGTAGCTGAGTGTGAAGGCCCAGGGTTCAATCCCCAATACCATCAAAATACAATCCATTATGATATTCCTATCTCCCTCTATAAATACTCAAATATTCAGATACCCACTCAGGGCTTTCAAATGTGTTCCCTATGGATGATGGAGGACACATCCCACTGAGTGGATAGGAGGATGGGGCTTGGATCTGGATAAAAAAAATGGATGGTACTTGGTATATCCTAAATAATACCAATTTGAATAACTTTTCATTTCTCCAATATTTTTGACAGCTTGGGGTAACCTGATTTCTACTCTGATAGAGACCACCCCCACCTTAGAGAAGTGAATCAGATACTGGATACCCAAATTTTTCATGGCATGTTTCTCATGAGTGTTTGAGATAGATTATATTTTTAAAAGATAAAGCAGCCTCTCCTAAACAGCTCTTATGTGTTTTGGGAAGCTTCACAAATGTGTACACAAAATTGGCATACATCCTGCAGGTTTGTGGAAATATAACACTTCCAGTAATGCATGTTTATCTACTACAGGATTGGGACAAATGCCACCTCACCCAGTAATTTATGAAATGAGGTATCTACCTAGTAACAGTTTCCACAGACATATTCTCAGTACACTCACTACAGTATCAGTGCTTAACAATTACCCCTAGTGATCCTGTAACTGTATAAAATTGCTTACTTTCTCAATCAAAGCAAACAATATGAGGGTTTGAGTTCTGCCAGCTGGGCAGCTGATAATGCCAGAACAGTTTTAAATATGTGCTTACAACTATTCTCATTGTAAAGGGGATAAAGAGTAAAACAGATTGGACATTTTCCTGTGGTACAGCTTACATTTATTTCAGACAGTCTACTGTCATGTTCAACATGTACATGGATTAGGGTAGCTTTAAATCCAAATCCTCTTGTGTCAAATACCTAAAAATATTTCCATGTTGGTATGTTTGAACAAAAAACCAGTTTTCACTGTTGTAAAAATTGTGGTAGTTAGTTACATTTTCACAATCACACCTGGTATGGAAGAAATCAGCAAGTACAAGGTTAGTACAACCCAAAAGATTTATTGCTAGCTTCCTTTTCTGAATTCACTTTAAAATTCCCACCCTTGGGGCTGGGGATTTTGCTCAGCAGTACAGTGCCTGCCTGCCAAGTGCAAGGTCGTGAGTTCAATTCTCAGTACAGGAAAAAAAATAAAAAAATAAAAATAAAAATAAAAAGTAAAATTCCCATCCTCCCAAGAAAAAAACATTTCCTACATTGGTTCTCTCCAGCAATCTTAGGTTTTTGTTACTCATCACAATATTTTTGTCCAGTATACTTCTCCCATGTAAATTTGACATTCTGCATGAAGTTACCCTACATTCACCTGGAGTTGCTTTCTCTCCTTCAAAAGTATTTAAAACTTTAATACTGCATAGTGGTCTTTCTCAAATTACTGTATCACTTTATGAATTTTCTGATAACCAAAGTACCCTTTTGTAATGTTTTTCCTTATCATAAAATTCTGTCCTGCTTGAGCTGACAGATACAGAATGAGGAATGATCTCTAAAAGCTTCCTCACATCTGTTGGATATGTACTCTTTCTTGGAAGGAGTTTACAAATGCAGAATGAAGGATATTACCAGATGAAAATTCTCAATACTGATTCTGTCTTATGTTGCAAAAAGAATGAACAGCTACTAATAGCTATCCCATATGTTCCTGAGGGTTTCTCCAGGATTAGTATATAAGATATGGGCCACATTTCTTCACATTCAACACATTCACATAAGACTTCTTTCCAGGAGTCTAAAGTGAAAGTAAGGCATTGCTTTTTTTTTTTTTTTTTTTTTTTCTATTTTAACTAATCCAAACACTCTTGGTTTTCAGACTGATTCACTGGTGTTCAATAAGAAATGAGTGGTAACTAAATGAATTTTCATATTCATAGGGGTTCTCTAGGGTATGTGTTCTCTGATGTTTAGCAAGATTTGAGCTCCAGCTAAAAGATTTGTTGCACACTGAACATACATAGGGCTTTTCTCCAGTGTGAGTTATCTTATGTAGAATGAGGGAAAAGCTTCTATTGAAGGCTTTGTCACATTCAGCACATGGGTAGCGTTTTTCTCCAGTATGAGTTTTCATGTGTTGAATAAGGGATGCATGCCAAGCGAACACTTTCCCACATTCATCACATTCATAGAGCTTTTCTCCAGCATGAATTCTCTGATGTTTAATAAGGAATGAGTGGCAACGGAAAGCCTTCCTACACTCATGACATTCATAGGGGGTTTTGGTTGTATGGATGCTCTGATGTCGAGTAAGGTGTGAAGAACGGCGAAATGCTTTCCCACACTCAATGCATTCATAAGGTTTCTCCCCAGTATGTGTAATCTGGTGGCGAATGAGTTCTGCACCACCGCTGAAGGCTTTCCCACATTTCCTACAGATATACTGTTTCTTTCCTATGTGAATTCTCTGATGTCGGGTGAGGTTAGAGGCACGGCTAAAGGCCTTTCCACACTCTGTACATTCATAAGGTTTTTCCCCAGTGTGTGTTCTCTGGTGTTCAATAAGAAAGGAAAGGTAACTGAATGTTTTATTACAGTCTTTACACTCATGAGGTTTCTTACCAGTATGTATCATCTGATGTTTCACAAGGTTTGAAATCTGGCTAAAGGTTTTGTTGCATTCCTTACATACATATGGCTTCTCTCCAGTATGAGTTCTCTGGTGTAATACAAGGGAAAAGCGCCGACTGAACATTTTTCCACATTCTTGGCATCCATAGGGCCTCTCTACTGCAGTCATGCTCATATGCTGAGTTAAAGCTTCTTGTTGAGACTTGCCTGATACCACTTGCCTGATACAACCTTGACTTCTTGGTAGTACCTCACTACCATCCTCAAATTGCCCGTTTCTTTTTAAGCTGGAACATATGCGGTGTTGGCTTACAATTCTTTCCATTATGAAATACTGGGATGAAATATCTTCATAAGTGATACTTTCTGGAGAAAGGTCTTTGATCTCACCATTTGATTCTAACACTGAAAAATAAAACAAAAAACAAAAAAAATCACTAATGTTTTTCTCTCTTTTTTCCCCCGCCGAGTTCAGATTGTCCTAGAACTCACTAAATAGCACAGACTGACCTCAAACTTACAAAGACGTGTGTGCACGTGTATGTGTGTGTTACTGGGGATTGAATCCAGGGCCTCATACTTTCTAAGAAAGTGTTCTACCACTGAGCTACATTTCAGCACTCTACTTTTTATCTTGAAACATGGTCTCACTACATTGCCCAACCTGGATTTCAACTTGTGATCCTCCTGCCTCAGCCTCCTCAGTAGAAGGGATTACAGGCATATACCACTGTGTTCAGCATACTACTCCCTTCTTAATGATGGAATTGAATTTTTTTTTAAATGTAGCAATGGCTTTCTTACCTGCCACTTATGACTGAAATTTCAGCAGTATGCCTAGTAATCAAGAAGAGATGTGAATACATAAGGGGAAAGAGTACATGTAAGTAACTAAAGGAGAAGAAACAGGTCAGGAAGATAATAATTGTGAAGAATATGCTGTTAATCTTCCTTGCCTCTATTTAAAGTATATTTGCTGCCATAATTCTCTGAAAATGGCAATTTTCATAATACTTTTAATAAGCTGCAAATATTTCTCAGGTCCCACAAAGATACTAAACTCTTTTAGCTTAGTGCTTTTTGAAACAGATTACAATAATCCATGCTAAATGGGAGGAAAAAAAGATTTCTCTGAAAAGTGCTATTCATGACACTCACTTTAACCCCACCCTCTGAACATAAGGTTTTTCCATTAAACACCTCTGATAGACAAGCATAAGCTGATTTTTCACAAGGAATTTTAGGAATTTCATCACAGATTTAATTAAAACATAATTTTATACTACAACTTTAATACCTTTCTTAGAAAACATGAAGTATTTAAGGATAAAAGGCTATGACATATAACAGTATTTTCAAATGTTTTAGGAAAACATCATAAACCAAATGATAAGGTAAATCCAGCAATGTGTTAATAGTATGAATAAAGGGGATGTGGATACTCTTTGTGCTATTTTCTGTGAGTTTAAAATTGTTTTTCAATAATACATTTAAAAATTCGTTTTTCTCAGCCAGGTGTGGTGATGAATGTTTGTAATCCCAGCATTCTGGGAGGCTGAAGCAGGAGTACTTCAAGTTCAAAACCAGCCCAGGCAATTTAACAACTTAAGAAGACCTTGTATCTAAAATTTTGTAAAATACAAAAAAAAAAAACCAGATACAGTTCATTAAAATGGTGCTGGGTTTAATCCCTAGATCTGCTAATTAATAAATTTTTCTGTAAAAGACACCAGCATGTTTTTTAGGGAAATGCTGTCTTTTATTATCACTCTCTAGTAGAACTGCCTTGCAAGCAATGTTCAAAGAAATTCTTCAGAGACATAAGAGTGTATAGATCACACATTTGGCAGCATTACAGAAGAAATAAAAATGAACACAAACCCTTCCTTAAATAAATACCACATAGATCAAAAATTGTTTTTGAGCCAAATGAAAATAAATACAGTACTTAGAGGAAAATATGTAGTGATGAATGCATATACTGTATTAGAAAAAAAGATCTAAAATTAATCATCTAGCTTCTGTTTTAGGAAACTAGGAAGAACAGCAAATTAAATCCAAAATAATAACAAGAAAGAAATAAAAAATACAGCAGAAATCAATTAAATCAAAAATAGGATACCAACAGAGAAAAATCTAGGAAATCAAACTGGTTCTTTAAAAAGACCAATGTAACTACCAAGCCTCTTCCTAGGCTAATTAAGAAAAAAAATGTCACAAATCACTGAGTCATCAGTGAAAAAGGAGACATCACTCCTGATTCCTGGACATTGAAAGGATAATGAAAAAATGCAAAGAGCAACTATATGCCCACAAATTTGATAACCAAGATGAAATGTACCAATTCCTTGAAAGGCACAAACTGCCAACACTCACAGAAGAAACAACCTGAATAGGCTTATATCAATTACAGAACTAAGTCAGTAATTAAAAACTTTCAAAACAGAAACCACCAGGTCTAAGTGGGTACACAATTTTCTGCTGTCTCTTTCAGATGGTAGAAGCAGACAGAATACTTCTAATGCATTTGATGAGGCCAACATTACCCTAATAACAAAACCAGACAAAGATAGTACAAGAAAACTACTGACCAATATCTCTCACAAACATAAATGTAAAAGTCCTTCAACAAAATACAGTCAGTCCTCAGTGCCCCTTAATTCTATACCCATAGCCTCAACCCAGTCACACACTGAAAATACTCAGGAGAAAACTACTGAACATTTGAAGACATTTTTCTTGTTATTATCCCTAAGCAATGCACAACAACAAATATATAGCATTCACATTTTACTAGGTATTATACTTAATCTAGAAATAAAGTATACAGGAGATTTACATGTATTATATGCAAATACTACATCATTTTATATAAAGGGTTAAGCATGTGCAGATTTTGGTATCTATAGGCATTTCTGGAACCAATCTTCTGGATTTGAAGGGACAACTGTATATGCAAATCATACCCAATAATGTACATAAAGAGAATTACACCTGAGGAACAAGTGGAGTTTGTCTTGGGTATGCAGGGCTGGTTCAGCATTTGAAAATCAATATAATCCACCGCATTAACAGGTCTTTAAAAAGTAACATTATGATACAACAGATACAGAAGACACATTTGCAAAATCCAACACCTAGTCATGATTTTTAAAATTTCAGCAAAATAGGAATGAAAAAGAACTTCATCAGCTTAAAAAATATGAAAAACTCTTTAGGTAATATAATTAATGGTAAGAAATTTGGAGCTTTCCTAAGTTTAGGGAACAGGAAAATTCCTAAGATTAGGAATAAGGAAGTATGTCCTCTTCACAACTGCTTTTCAACAAGATACTTAATGTAACAAAAAAGAGGAATACAGTTGTCCCCCAGTATCCATGAGGAACTGGTTCTAGGACAGTCAGGATACTAACATCCATGGATGCCCAATCCTTTACATAAAATGTACTATTTTAGAGGACGATTGTCAATGGCAGTAAGTTGTTGTGTGTGGACAAGGAGTACTTGGGAACTATACACTTTCTGTACAGTTTGTTCCAAACTTAAAGCTACTCCTCAAAATTAATGTTTACTAACTTACAACATCTCTCTGGGCATGGTGGTACAAACCTATAATCTCAGCTAATCCAGAGGATGAGGCAGGAGGATCACAGGTTCAAGGTCAATCCAAACAACTAAGACCCTATCTCAAAATTTTAAAACAAAAAACAAAAAGCTCACTGGCACAGCAGTTGCTTATCATTTTGCAAGGCCCAGGAAAGCAAAAGGAAGGGAGGGAAAGAAACCAAACCAAATCTAATTCATGCACTCCACCCTTCTGGGGTTGTATCTGGCAATGTGTTACAAACTTCTCCAGATAATTTTTTTTTTTTTTTGGTACCGGGAATCAAACTCACGACCTCAAGCTTGCCAGGTGCTGTGCCACTGAGCTAAATCCCCAGCTCCAGGTGGTTCTTTTACTGACTAAAATTGGAGGGCTGGGGAGTATTACCTAAGAAACAGGTATCTTGCAATGCTCAGAAGCACAGGGAATAGGAGAGGTGGAATGAATATAAAAACTCTTTCAAAAGTAGATTATTTAAGTGCAGATTGAAATATAAAAAGCATTGTAATACCCTTCTTCTGCTGTAGAATACGGTACTCATTTGACTAGTGATATTAGTTGGTTAGAGGGTGTACTGCTTTGTTTTGCTTTTCTGGTACTCAAAATTGAATATAAGGCCTTTACACAGAGCTACATTGGTTTTCCAACCATTTCTCCCTTTTTACTTTGAGACAAGGTCTTGCTAAGTCACTAAGTTGCCCACGCTGGCCCAGAAAATGTAATCCCCCAGCCTAAGCCTCCCAGAGTGCTGGGACTACAGGCATTTGCCAACACATCTGGCCATTGAGCAGATTTAGACTGATGCATCCCATGAACATCAAAACTTAACAAGTCTCAAACTGATACAATCTTAGCTCCTTGCTATAAACTGATTCATTCCTCTTTTCTTAGGAAATAATACCAAGAGAGTAATGTCAACCATAATTCCTCAACCTTCTTCATGTCTGCCATCTAGTCACTCACTAAATCCCTTCAACTCTACTTTCTTAATTTGTTACTAATCCATCTATCTCTCTCTACTACCCAGACATCGCCGTAATTCAGGTAATTACTAGATCTGGACTAGGTAATGGCACCAACTTTAAGTGGTAACCCTGTTTAAATGTAGTAGTTGCCTTAGTTAACTTCTCACTGCTCAGACAAAATACTTGACATCCAAAGTTAAGGGAGGAAAGGTTAATTTGGCTCACAGCTTGTAGAAGTTTCAGTCCATAGTCAGCTGGCTAATAGGCAGGATGGCATGACACAGAAGCATCCCAGAAGAGAAACACTTCATGGCAGACAGAAGGTAACAAAGCAAGTAAGCAGGAGGAGAAAACAAGCCTCTTTCTGTCCTTTATGTTGCATCCAGGATTAGTAGGGCCACACCAATCATTGGGCTGATTTAGTAGTCACTCACTCTTAATCTTAGCACCTTCACCCTAGCATTGCACCATGAATCAATCACATACTCTAGAATCAGCCACTTATGAAAAAGCCCCACCCATGGCTGCATGACACTTTGGGGAGGTATCTAAACTCAATCTGTAACATTCTGCCCCTGGACCCCCAAAATTCATGTATGTCCCTTTATGTAACAGGCATTTAGTGCACCTCGAAGAGCGCCAAAGTCCTCACAGTTTCAGCACTGCTGAAAAGTCCAAGTCCAAAGTCTCCTCTGAGATTTAAGGCAAACTTACCTGCAAGCCCCTGTATAAATGAAAAGAAAGTTAAATACTTCCAACATTCAAAGGCACAAGATAGACATTTTCATTCTAAAAGTTACAAACAGGGGGAATACAAAGGAATGGGACCAAAGCAAGTCCAAAATCCCACACAGCAAATATTAAGTGCTGTAGTTCCATATCCACCATCCAAGGCAATCTGCGGCAAGATGTGAACTCCAAAGCGGACTCCACCCCCATGGCCCTGCCAGTGGTTGCGGTTCCCATAGCTTCTCTTTTGGGCCAGCTCTGTTCCCTCCTTGCAGGTTTCCTCACACAATCCACACTCCTGCCTTCTCCATATTTCTGGGGTCTCCACTGCACTTCTGGCTTCACACTCATAGCATCACACACTGCCCTCTCAAGGGCACACTGCCTGGTCTCCCAGGCCTTCCTCTGAAATCTCGGTGGAAGCCTTCCACCCAGACTTCACAACTCTTGCATTGCATTCTGCATGCACCTAGAACCAGCACCACATGGATGATGCCAAGGTCTGCGTCAGCTAGAGCAGTAGCCAGGCTTCATTCTCTCTTGGCTGTAAGGGTCGAGTACCTAGACTGCTGAGCACTCTGAACCTAATCCCGAGGAACAAATTATCTAGGCCGCTGCTATTCTGAAACATGGTGCTCTGGGGCCCTCTTCTCAAAGCCAGTTCTTTCACCTTTGCAACTCCAAGGCTGCAGAGGCTGGAGTCCTGCTGGTTCTTGTGAACCAGATGGCTGGTTCAGGCCATCTTTTCTGTTGTCTTCTGAAATACTTGGCTTTTTCTTGCTGGTCTTTTCAGCAACCAATTTCTCTTCTATTCCATCTTTGCAGTCTGCAACCTTACTGGAGTTTCATTTCTGGCCAAACTCAAAATGTCTTACAGCATTCTGCTAGGCTCTTTCCTCTTGATTCTCAACATAAATCTGGCTAAAAGTTCCCAACAGTGGCTATGCCATTGCCTCAACATTAGACTGCCCTGAAATTTCTTCTGCAAGATTAATTAGTCTTCCACCCTTAATCTCAATCTCAGGCGAAGTCTCTGTACACAAGCAAAATGCAGACAAACTTTCTGCCAAGTTATAACACACATTTCTGGAATCTAACAGCCAATGTACTCCTTCTTCCTGAGCCTAGCCTGGGTTCAAAGTTGCCATGGTCCTGCCTCAGCCTCCCAGAGTGCTGGGATTGTGGGCATGTCTAATTTGAAATAAGTTTCCAAATAAGAACCCAACAAATAAATGAGGAAAATCCTTCAAGGTATACTACACAAAAGAGGACAGCAAAATGTTTCATAAAAGTATAAAGAGATGCCAACCTAACCAGGAGTCGGAGAAATTCAAATTTAAAACACAAGCTACCTCTGGGCAAGGTGGCACATACCTGTAATCTCAGCACTTGGTAGGCTGAGACAGGAGGATCACCATGAATTCAAGGCTACCTGGGATACTTAGTGAATTCAAGGACAGCCCGAACTACACAGTGAGACCCTGTCTCAAAAAGACAAAACAAAACAAAACAAAACCACAAGCTATCACATTATACCCTTCTAATACGTAAAATTATGATCCTTCATCATAAATTATGATGTGTAATAGTAAACATTTTACTGTTAATGGAAATACATATCAGGAAAAGTACTTTAGAAAACATTTTAGCATTATCTGTTAGAGGGTAAGAGGTGCCTTACCCTCTAAATCCAACAATTCCAGTCCTAGGTATATACCACTAAATCACTGACTACAGTATGTCACTTAAATCTTTGTATTAAAAGAAAGTCTTAGTCAGATGTGGTGGCACACACCTATAATCCCAGCACTCGGGAGGCTGAGGCAGGAGGACTGTTGTGAGTTCGAGGCCAGCCTGGATTACAAAGTGAGATCAAGGCCAGCTTGAACTGCATAGTGAGACTTTGTCTCAAAAAGACAAAAAAAAGAAAAAAGAAGAAAGTCTTCATCAGATCTAAATACAATTCAATAGTATTGGAAGACTATGTGAATAAATGAATAGCTACCCAAAGAATGAGCCAGGGGATGCAGGTCAATGGTAAAGTGCTTGCCTAGAATATGTGAGGCCCTGGGTTCAGTCCCCACTACCACTAAAAAGAAAGCTAAAGAATGAATTAATTTTTCCAAAATAATTAAATAGAACACTATCACTGATATTCATAAATATATGCACTAGGTATATATACTACAAACATACCAATTTGAAGGAAGGAGAAACTAACAAGAAAAGACAGATAACATGGGAGCAGGGAGACATAAAAGTACGTATCTATGTGTGAGAAGTAGGGAAAAGTATGAGAACTGGGCATAGTGAGACATGACATTGTTTCTTGTGGAGCTACAAACGGACTTCATAGTTTTTATATCTCTCCTATCTTTAAGTGAAAATTCCCAACTAGTATATTAAAAAGCATTGCTTTCTCATTGACTAGTTGGGTTGTCATTTTTAAAACTTCCTTACAAGCCAGGCATGGTGGCACACACCTACAATCCCCAGCACTCAAGAAGCTGAGGCAAGAAGATCACCAAGAGTTTGAGGCCAGCTTGGACTATACAGTGAATTTAAGGCCAGCTTGAACTACACAGCAATATCTTGTCTCAAAAAACCAAATTTTTGTAAAAAAAAACTTCCCCTACCAACCTCTAACTCACTCACCTGAAAAGATATCTCTGTTCTTTTCTCCTTTCCCCAGCCAGGGCTCTTTGCCTTGTTCCAATAAGGAAACGACATCTGGTTTAGAAATGGAAAGACCTGCTTACAGAAAATGAAGCAAATTCAAAATCAGTCCTTAAATTATGAGAAAAGAGATACCTTTAAAATAAATGCCAGATGGAAGTATTAAGAATGTCTGAACATTAGCTAAACTTACAACCCCCAATTTAAAACTAATTTTTAAAAAAATACCTCCCTGTGACTGTTCAACCAGACAATCAAAATTTCCAACAACCATCCTAAAGATCAAATGATATCTTAAAGGAGATGAGGAGGACGACTTACCCAATGAAACCAGATGGCCATAGTTCTCCAACATTACACATCTATACAAATCTCTCTGAGCAGGCTGGAGCCACTTCCACTCCTCTTGGGAGAAGTCTATGGCCACATCTCTGTATGTCACTGATCCCTGCAATGACACACAGATATGTGCACAAACAGTACCTGTGCCCCCAAAGTCCCTGGGAAAGAGTGAAATAAATCTCACTGTGGAGTGTAAGTGGTGACTGTGAAAGTTTGTAGAACTCTAAGTAATTATACAATTAAGAGACTTAACTTTTTTGTTCCATTAAAAGGGAGAAAAAAAACCAAGTGTTTTTTCCTGAAATGATTTACAGTTTTATTCAAGATTCACGATTATATATGTGAACAACATGGATTTCTCATTCTGGTTATAATTTTCTGTTCCATGAGTACTGCATTTAATAAACAATGTTTTCCTTAACATCAGCCTATTTTGGTATATGTGCTGCGAAGCAAGCACAGTATCAGCCCATTTTAATATGAGTTTAATAGCTGGCTGCACCCTTCAAATGGGACATGCACAATCAAATCTGTCAAGGTTACCCCAAAGAAACTTAGCTACTATGAAGTTCAGCAGAAATTGTATCAGTGTCATAGAACAAGGAAGGTAAGCAATAAAGTACACAGACCTCCAAAGGAAATACTTCCCGGGATAGAACCAGCTCTTTTCCACAGGATTAGGAAAATAGTAAGACCCTGCTTTGAAGCCTGGTTTTACACCACTTGCATGAATCATTCAGCCATAAGCCATGGGCAGGAATTAAAAACATCACAAACTAGTAGCAATTCCAGATGTATGACAGTTCTATTTTACAGTTTAAAAGACGATAAAAGGTTGTTCACTAATAAAGGTGTTTCCTAGGCTAAACATCTGCAGCAGAGGTTTAGCTGAATACCACAACAACACGCAGAAGCCTCTGGATTTGGAGACAAGACGAAAGATAGGCCAGGGAAGTGACTAAAACAGAGAAGTGATTTGTAATGGTCCATGTTGTTATGCCCACCTCTGTGAAGGTCAATCACCAGCATTTAGTCCCAGCCACAATGAAAGCATCACTGTTCCTAGCTACAGAAACTTACAGTCGTGTCTGCAAAATGGGTTCTGTGAGTTCAGGAGTTTTGTTCACAGCTGCATCCCCAAGACAGCATGCGCCGCCCATCAGAATCCTGGCAGGGGCCGCGGCCCCGGTGCTCCCGACTCGGAAGGTCCAGGACTGGACCCAGCATGCTCATCTCTAGCAAGGTCCAGGCGATGCTGGCACTGCCTTCCAGGAATCAGCGCCACTGACGCGGGTGCTTAAAGACGCGGGTGTTAAAGAACACGACACAGAAACGAGGGAACGGCGGCCGGGAGGGGCACACAGAGCAGTCCGGGCGGCCCTGGAAGGGGTAGGGTACCACAGCGTCTGGGCGGGGCGGGGGCACCAGCTAAGGAGAAGCGACCCGGGTCCCAACTGCTGACAAGCGTGGCACCCAGGAAAGGGAAAGAGGACACACACTTACCTGGGCCATGGCAGGAAAGAGGATGTGGAGCACGCAGGCCTGGTGCCTGCGCCGGTACGCCGTCACTTCCCGCCCGGCGCGGCAGGCCCTGTCCGCTGTCCGGCCTCTGGCGCGGGCCTGGGCGACGCGTTCGCTCCGCGCTCGGCTGGCTGGCGCAGGGAGGCACAAGGCGGCCACCCGCGGGTTTCTAGCGAAGGGAGAAGGGAGACCCAGTCCCCGCCTGCACCCTCGACTCTGCCCTGAAAACACCGCCGGGAGTCGCGTAATTTCGCCTTCCCAAACCACAGAGATGCAAACAACCAGGCCAAGGCGTCAACAACTACACTTCCCAAAGGCCACCATGGAGAGGGACAACGGAGCGTTTCTGCCCTACTTCTTCTCCCAGTGTGCCCCGTGCTCGCGGCCACAACGACCGGAAAAAAACAAGGGCGGACTCCGCCAACTAATTTCCTAGAGGACACCGGGGAGACCGGGAGTTTCCGCCTTTCCATAACTCCAAGGCCCCTGGCCACGGCCTCCAGACAACTACTTTTCCCAGAGACCAACGCGGCGAGGGTGGGGCGAGGAAGGGCGTTTGCGCCCTACTACAGCTCCCAGCGTGCTCCGCGGCCACAGGCACAAAGACAGGAAATAAAGCCTGCTTGATAACCTTCTCAGGACCACCCGCGGCTTGCTTGAGCTCCAGGAGGAACTACACTTCCCAGAATTGGCTGCAGACTCTGCACCTGGCTAACGCCCTCCGGCCTCTGAGACTGTACTTTAGTGTCTGGGAGATTCTTATGATGACATCACTTCCGGGCACTATCGTAGCCTGTCAAACACCCCCGACTTTCCAGGGTCGTAGATCTCCGATCTACGGGGTTCCGGATGTTCTCAGAGAACACAGCAGCAGACTGCCGTACGCTCCGCTTGTTCTTGCGGAAGCGCTGGTAAAGACGAGCCCAGCGAACTCTTTTCCTGGCAGCCAGGGAGGGATCCAGGACAGCCCCCTGACCCGGATGAGCTGAGTCTGCGTCGGCAGAAGGAAAGGAAAGGGTCCAACGTTGGACTCTGAGGGGTCGGGAAGGTTCTACGCCCTGAATCAAGTAACACCGGGCCAGGTTGAGGGTAAGGTGTCTAAAAAAGACGCAAGAGAAACACTACGCTGTAGAAAATGGAAAAAGAGGGACAAATTCATTAGCCCGGCAAAAAGACATGAGACACTAAGTAGAACTTTGTGAAGGAATTTGGATGTTGTTCAGTGAACAGTAAGTGGGAAGACGCGAGAATTTTGAGGAGAAAGGTGACGATATGCTTTCTAGAGCTTTCTGTTAAGGATAAATTAAAGGAGGAAAGTTTGAACTTGGAAGTCCGGGAGACAATGGGTGCATAAGCTGGAGACTTATCTAAACTGGTACAGCGGGAATAGGGCTATGGGAGCTGATTCAACAAGTAATTTAAAGGAGGAATCCAAACGGCCGAGTTATGAACTAGGTGTGGTAGCTGGAAGGAAGACCTAGGTTTTTTTGCTTGGATGGTGTGCTTCTAGAAGTTGATTCTTTAAAGTGTCTTCGACCACTGTGTCATCCACTCTTATGACTTCATTTTCCAGTCACACCACAGATGACTTGGCCAGATCTGCTGGCTAGTCACTTTTGTTTCATTAAAGTGATAAAACATAAAATTAGAAAAAAAAATATTTTGAAGACTTGTTAAGTAAGTGAATGTTTAATGAAAACTACTAGTACTGTCGAAACTATCATTAACCTATGATCTTGCCATAATTTCAATACATCCATTTCCCAAGTCTTTTCTTTACACATAATCAGCCTATTTATGAAAGTAATTCAAGTCCTAGTACTGTTTGACATACTTTAAGGGCTCTTACTTGATCTTAAATCAAAAATTCTTTTAAAAGACGGCATAACCTTACTTTCAATCTTTTCTTGAATTATTTTCCTGCTCTGATTAAGCCTCCTTTCTCCAAATGGCTTGAACCACAGGAACTTTGACTATGTTAATTTGCCCTGGTAAATAAACTGCTTATTCTGTCACACCATAACTTCATTAGTTCCTTTTAACTCATTTATCGCCGTGAGTTTGAGGCCAGTCTGGGATACATAGTGAATTCAAGGCCAACCTGAACTGCATGGTGAGACCATGTCTCAAAAGTCACATAAATAAAAAAAGGCTTGGGATGTAGCTCAGTGGTTGAATTGTTACCCTAGCATGTGTGAGATCTTGAGATATGTCTCCAGTACAAAAAAGTAGGCAAAGTTCTGCCAAGATGTAACAGAAATAAAAATCACAAATATTGATAAAAAAGCAGCATAACTAGAGATAGGAGATTCCAAAATTTCTAAGAAAATATAATTTGATGTCAGTAAATATATAAATTCCTTTTAAAAAGCAGCCTATCAAATCTTTAAGAATATAGATCAGGGATGTGAAGGTGATCTGGCTGCGACATCCATCACCCCATTGATCGCCAGGGTTGATTCAGCTGATCTGATTGGCTGGGTGGTTGTCCCCTTCCTCCTTCAATGCTCCCTGTGTGTGCACGCTCAGTTGAAGAGGACAACCACTCCCAATACAAGAGGACCATTCCTCGGTCAGGGGTATACAAGTAGCTGCACTCCCCTGCTAGAAAATCCAAACAAACTCTCAAGGTCCATTTGTAGGAGAATGTAGGGTAGTCAAGCTTCCAAGACTCCAGACACATCCAAATGAGGTGCTGCATGTGGCAGTCTGCCTTTCTTTAAAAAAAAAAAAATTTAAAAAAAGAATGTAGATCAGTGTGCAAAATTGTGTCATATACTCTTTTTTTTTGTGGTAAATTGTCAAACCTTTATTGGGTTTGGCACCTATGTTCTGACATACCTATGGTATATCAAGGTCTCTGAGCTGCTAGCCACCTCTTGCTGTTCCCATCTGGATGGCATGAGTTCGCAGGTATGATGCGTCCTTGTGATGTACTAACAGTGTTCACACAGTACACCTCAGTACAGTATATTAGAACCTGGAGTAAAACTAAATGTTTCAGGTATTGTTCCATGTTAATGCAAACATTTTTCTTAAGTTGGCTTTTTTAAAAAATGCATTTTCCAAATCAAACCTTGCATACCATATAACCCACGCTATATAAATCTGCATTAAAAGCAGTATAATGCCTGCAAGTGGGACTTAAATATGGTCAAGCCTGTCTAGTCCATCTTCTTTAGGGTTGTTAGGCTCTTTCACTATAGAAGAGGAATATGAGAGGTACACTAATACTGCATCTTTTAGGTCTTTAAGAGTAGCACTGATCTCAGCCCTCTCCCTCAAATGCAATATTGTTTTTTAACTTACTGTATGACCTGGGGAGTGACTTTCAGGGCCTCCTACATGACCTTCCCCATTATGGTGGCTCTTAACACAAACCAAAGATCCAGTATTGGGGTTAATCCAATTATCCAGAATGTCAATCCCAACTACACACTCAAAAACCAAGCAAATGGCCAACATGAGTCCATGGAACCACTGGACATAGAGGAAGATTTGTCTGTTTAGGACAGCATTCATAGCCAGTCTACAAGTCTTTGAAGCTCCTCAATCTTCCCCTTTATGAAGCATACAATCCACCTATTAAATGGCTATCAGTCTTTGACAAAGGACTGGAGGCATGAAGACTGGATGTACTTGCCATGGCACTTCCTCTTGGAGCCTAAACTACATCTTCAATGTTTTCTTGATCTGAGTATTAGCTCAAATTCAAGAATAAGACACTTTACTGTGGAAGCTGCTCTCAGTCCCTTGCTCTCCTGCTCATGGGCTTTTTTTTTTTTTTTTTGGTACAGAGTCTCACTATGTAGTTCAAGCTGGCCTTGCCCAAGCTGGCCTCCCACTTCAGCATCCCAAGTGTTGGAATTACAGGGGTGCAACCACACCCAGCACTCACCCATTCTTGCTTTTTTGTTTTTGAGGGGGGTGGTAGTGGGGATTAAACCCAGGACTGCCACACTGAACTACATCCCCAGCCCTTTATTTTTGAGACAGGATTTTATTAAGTTGCCAAAGCTGGGCTCATATTTGTGATCCTACCTCAACTTCCCAGAATGTTGGGATTACAAGCATGTATCACCATATCCAGCAGATTTTTTTGGTTATATATGCTTACAAGTATCTCTATTGCCTATCCTTCTTGCTCAGCCCTAAGGAAGTAATGATCTAACATCTCCATGACAGCCCTATGTATCAAACACCTTGACTGTTCTGCTGACCTTACTGCGCACTATAATCATTGCAAATTCCTGGCTTCTGCAGGGTAAGGGCCACCAGAGGGCCCCTCTTCCTTCATAGTTGTGAGGAGTGTGCACAACAGAAAAGATCTCTCATGAACTAGGCACGTAGCCATGGGTGACTCACCTGGTTTCCTGGGCAAACTGGATCATCTTTAAAGGCTTACCAAATCAGAGTTTTACATATAAGGCAAACTTTTTGGTAAAAGTTCAGAAAATAAATATTTCTGGTTCTGCAAGTTGTACAGTCTGTTACAACTGCTGGATCCTGCACTTATATTTTAGTAGCCAAAGACAACACAGAAGGTAAAAGTGCTTGGATATGTCCCAAGTAAAACTTCTGCTGGACACTAAAATTTGATTATATATAATTTTGACGTATCATGAAATATTCTTTGGACTTTTAAAATATTTTAAAATGTGAAAACTTTGGACCATAAAAAATAGTGCCTGAGTAGATTTTCATGGATCATGGCTGACCACACTCAGTTCTAAGCAGGATGACACTTGTGGTCCAGCTATTCAGGAGGCCGAGGCAGGAGGAACACCAGAAACCAGGAGTTCAGGGACACCCTGAGTAACACAGCAACATGCAACAACAACAAAAATATAACCCAGAAAACAAACATTGAGAGAAACTGTCAGGAACCCAATTTATTAATCACAACAGCACTGATGTTCTACTCAAAATACAGATAACTGTGAAGGAATTGTGGAAGTTCAAGGGTAGCATAGCAGGAGCCACAGGTATTTAGTTTTCCAGGTGTGAGGACAGGATGATGCCACTAGCCAGGCAGCTGCATCTGCTGCAGTCAGTTTGCCCTCCCACAGCAGCAACCTGGCCTCAACAACATGGTGTTTAGGCCCAAAGTCCCATTCCTCTGCCTCTGTGACAGAGACCTACTCACTACCCCCACTGTGTCCATATACACAAATACATCCAGGGATTAAATATCTGTGTGCTTGCTTGTAGGGAGTGGCTGAAGCTGGAAATTGGTCACATGTAGGGGCAAGGCAAAGTTGGTCCAAGAACAAAGAGCACCTGAGGCAATCAAGCTGCTTCATTCCAAAGAAACACCTTGCCTGAGACAATCCCAGCCATTAGTTGCTAGGCAACCCTGTGTCATGTGATACTTGGTCCAATGTATAAATAAAAGCCCCTATGGTGGTTGAGCAGCTCCTTTCCTCCCTAGGGCCAGAGAGAGAAAATAAATTTCAGAGGAGCCATAAAGAAAAAAAAAAAAAGGCTTAGAGGAAGACAAAAGGAAAAAGGTGAAGGAATGGAGCCAACAGAGTCTCAAAAACCACAGATGTATATAGAAATAATTGTATTCTTGGTTCCTACATTTACTTTACTTTTTAAGACCATCACAAAGGATTTGGTTTGGAGCACTATTGTAAAATCAAGCCCCAAGCAGGAAAAGGAGGGTGGCACAACACCCCCACCAATGGAGCTTAAACCCTCTAGCTCTGCTCAGTCAAATAAGGAAGAAACTATGGAAGACAAAAAGGGAAATTCTTTTGAACTGTGCATGGCTGGCTCAGAGCAGCATGGCCCACCAAGGGGAGGGGCGCAGACCAGGTGCTGGGAGGGCCCTGGTCTCTGGTCCTAGGCAGACATAGCTGGGATTTGCCAGCTAAGTCTGTGCATGCCCTTGCACCCTGCACAGCTGTGGCTGCTGGCCCATGCAGCCAACCACAAGCCTGGGCACCCAGGGCTGGGTAGGCTGGACATGACTGCAGTGCACCCCGGCTCTCCCCACCACCCACACGCATGCTTCTTGCACCCAAAGTTTGGCACTGGCAGCACCTGTGCTTGGAGTCCTGGCAGCAGCGGGACATCCAGCGGCCAGAGCAGGAGTGGCAACCGGCATGCTCAGCCAGCAGTGACAATGGCTGCACACATCCCAGTTCCCCTCCTCTGCCAACCAAGCCCATTCCCTTTTGGGCACCTCTACAGTACAGCATGCCTTGCAGCCAGCCACACCCATGACACTAGCAATGTGCACTCTGCTAAGAGCTGCAGGAGTGGCAGCAGCCCAGATCAAAGGAAGGAAAATCCAGAGAAAAAATTTGGCGTCCATGCCTACACAGGTGGCAACCACTTTGTCTCCTGGGGAGGGGGGCTTGGGCGATGGAGCCCATCCGACAATGAGGCAGGTGAATTGAGCCCCTGCCAGCAGGGCAGCTTGCCCAGCACTGAGGCAACAGAGGAGAAGCTGCAGGCAGGGGCAGGAGCCCAAATACAAAAAATAAATAAAGGCTATGATTCAGTTTATTCAAAACACTGCTCAAATCACCCCAGACTCTTGTATCACTCAATTGGTCATTCTTCCCTTAAAAAAAAATTAAAAATCTATAAATAAGGAAAGGGGATCCAAAGATTTTGCGTCTTCTGACACCTACTGGGTTCAAAAATGGAATTGATTATTTAAAGGAAAGACATTTGAAAGGGCTTTTAGGCATAAGTGTGGATGGCCTCCAGCTGTGGCAGCTGCAGGCCCACAGAGTGTGGGCAGTATTTCTCACCATAGCAGAGGTGCTAGGCTGGTGACCTGGAGGGATGCAGAGGCCATTCTGGATATTTCTCACCTTATGTCCTCCCCCATACACTACTCAGTCTAAGGGATCATGATGTATTACAACCCCAATAACTTTAACTGAGCCACAGGCAGCAATCCCAGCCTTTTTAGAACTTTGTTGAGTCACAGGTTTTGCCTCTAAGGGAATAAAGCCATTTTCTCTCTCTTGCAATTTGCACTAAAAAAACCCCAGATGGGTAAGGAAGTCCATGGAAGGTTTTCAGCATACTGACCCTGTTACTAAACTTCAAGTCCCCAGTAATCCCAGACAAGTTATATCTGTTAATGAAGCTGTACGTTTTAAAACCATAAAAAAAATTAAAACAAGCTGATGTTACCTATGGTCCTACAACTCCCTTTCCCTTGAGTTTTGCAGAGCTCCTAGGACAACAGATATAGCCCCAAATGATTGGAAAGGAACAGCTAAAGCATGTTTAAGTCCAGGAGATTATTTGTTGTGGAAAGGAAATTTCTTGAATTATGTAGACCAAGCCGCTCCCCATGCTGTTCACAACATAGCTATTACAAAAGATATACTAATCAGGGAAGGTGCCTTTGCTACCACAATCAATTTACCTTTGAATTACAAGTATATGAGCAAGGTAAAATCGCTGCCACAAGGGCCCAGAGGGAACTTCCTTCAAGGGATGAGATATCCCTTGATTTGACTTCCATTCATCAGAGCCCTGGTGAACCGTTTCAAAATCTTTTGACATGCTTATAGCAGGCTATTTAGAGAATTATAAGTGACACAGAAGCTAGCAAATTAATCATTCAACAACTGGCCTTTAAAAATGTAAATAAATGATGTAAAGAGGCTTTAAGAGCCCACAAAAAACTGCTACACTGTCTGAGACAATTTGAATTTGTGCAGATATTGGCCCCTCATGTGTACAAGGAGCTACTTTGGCAATGGCTCCCTCAAGGTGATTGATTTAAAATACTGTTTTTTTACTATCCCTCTCCATCCTCAAAAGACATTTTGCCTTTAACTGAAAAAAAAGTATTTCCTAAGATTTACATAAATGGGTATTTTCAAAGATTACTTAAAAGAACATATTTCCCATAAATGGAAACCTTGCTCCTTCTCAAGAAATTGATTATAATTCAGTGATAACTTTGCTCTTTTAGAGTTATAGTCAAAAAATTCCTCATTTTAGATTATATAGCTAATAAAACTGTCTCCTTTTAATTACACTCTTCTTAACATCATATACAAGATATGCTAGTGATTCTGAAAGTTTTTGTAAGTCTTTGGTGTTCTCTTGACTCCTATAAAGGTTGACTGCCTGTTTTATTTCCTTTTTTACAAATATGTATAAGGTTTAAAATATGATTGGAAAACACTGATGGTTAAACAGTCTCTTAACTTTAGCATTCCATTAAAATAATGACAGGCCCAGTGGTGGCCTCCAAAAGGGTACAAACTATGACACGTTTTTCATATTTGGGTCACCTTATACAACAAAGACATTATGCCCCAAACTGTTCAGATCAGCCCTGATTTTCAAATTTTACGTGGTAGAATTAATTGGCCTTGCCAAGCTCTTAAGCAAGTAACTCATGATTTAGGTCCTCTCTTTGACATTCACAAGGGGGATCTGGCTCCTACCTCTTCAAGAGCATTTACACCCAAGGCCAAAGCTGCCCTAGATAAACTTAATCTGGCTTTCTCTAGAGTTCCACTTTCTAGAATAGACACATCTTTGCCAATGTTTTAATTATTTTCCCAACTCAGTGTATGCCCATTGGGGTCCTTTGCAGACTCAGGGTCCTTTACAGTGGCTACATATTCCACATGCTTCACATGAAACTATTACTCCCTTTCATGGTGCCATGGCAGAACTGCTCACATACAGGCAAACACATGTTGTTCAGTACTTTGGTTGTGAGGTGCAAATTTTTATTGTTCCCTTTTCTTCAGGTCAACAATGATTATGGCAATTTTTTTTAATTTTAAAGAGTAAAAGAAGGATAACATAATAATAGGGGGGACTTA